CCCTGGTCTAATCTTAAAGAAAGATGTCAGGTGGGATTGTGGTACACGATCAAGATGTATAAAACCATGCATGAATGGAGACAGTGAAGAGGCAGAAGTTCTCCTTTGTTTATCAGAACATTTGGACTGAAGAATTGTTATCCAGTGAACCTTTTTGGAAGGAGATACAGGGCAGGCAAAGGAAACATTCTTCATATAGCAAATAATTAACTTGAAAAATTCAGGTATAAATTTGTGATGACCCAGGGTGGGATACAAAACAAACACAGTCACAGAAAACAGGTGAAGCCCCTTTTATTCTTTCTCTCTCTCAGAGTCAGTCTCCACCAGGGTCATGACAAAATTGCTGCAGGATAATGACATTAGAGGTAGATCTTTCTTCCTCCTGGTTGAGTCCGCTGCAGAGGACTGCATCCTAACTACGATGATCCTAACTCAGCAGGGCCAATTTTAGATTCTTGTGTCCTTACATTCTGGGATCCCTTGTGGCTGAAACACTCTAACCAACCAATGAAGGAAGAAGTAATAATGCTGGGAAGAGATGTGAATCAGAAAGTTCAGCCTACAGTTCATACTCTTGGTAGCTACTTTTAATCATTTCTAACAAAAAATGTGAAAATTGCTTAAAATCCTATTTATTTTATTACCCATTTCACATTAGTTGGGCAATATCGTAGACTGGCAGTTCTCTTTGGTTTTGAACTGTAAATTGTCATAAATCCCTATAACTTAAAGGCTTTATATCCAACCTCTAATTTATGTAGCAACTAATGAAAATTGCAACAACTTATTTCGATGCAGATAATTTTACTTTAATCCTTTGACATACAGCATTTTATCCAGCTTTTAAAATGCGAATTCCTCTGATGGCAATGCTATGTTGCATGTAACATTCACTAACATACTTTCAGAAACTGTACTTAATACTAATGTATAACTCTTATGAAGTCAGTAGGGTGGTCAGTGGGGTGGAGCATTCTAAAAGTCCTCAAAGATTTCAACAGGGTTTATGATATACTTCTATACCAATTACACATTTCTACTCATAACATCATATATGGAATGTTTTGATCTAACTTGAGTTGCTTCACTAATGATGGATAGAATATGTTTATATTCTGGATTATTCTTTCTCTGACAATTATATCCCCTAAAATGCTATTACTAATAGATGAGAAACTAATAAATTAAATATTAAAATATGATACCAATTCATTATAAATTAATCTAGTCAGATTTTTAAATTGTTTTCATTATTTATTATCCTGATTAACTGTTCTTTTATGATCAACATTTTCTCGCTCAATTTATTAATTCAGAGAGGAGGAAGTTGTATCTGAAATTCAAATAGCCATTTACAAAACACTGTATGAGCCTCTCACTAAAAATGCAGGTTTAATTAGAATAACAAATAAAGCATCATTGATGTCCCTTTCTTGCCAGGCTGACAATAAAGCTAGCACATTGTTTCAAAGAGTTAGTTGAGCAAATAAATTATTTTGTGCGTGCTTGAAACTTTTTCAGACCAGCAAATAAGCAAATTCTGCTTTCTGCACCTTGTTGGAACAGTAACAAATATTTTATTATTGCTTGGATTATTTTGCAGTCCCACTAGTTATTGCTTGCAGGCAAATGGTATTTCTTGCAATGCACCATTTGCTACTTTGTCATGCTACTGTTTGTAATCATTCTGTTCAGTCTTCTTGTAGCAGCTAACTAAATGGTCAACCCTTTGTTCAGCTTCTTTGCAGAGGTTGCATTTACTGTCTGTTCTCAATTTTGGGATGCATTCTCTTTTGTTCTTAAGTCTTAGTCTTGTACAAGCAGATTAGCCCTCAGTCTCTTTCTTAAACTTCCATGCTCTTTACCCATTGTTAGGCCTTATTATTTGCTTTGCCTGCCATTATATTTTAATGCATTGGCCATAATGTTTTGCTTGCCATATCTATTTTCCATTCTTCACTTGTTCTTTCTTCTAGGCCAGTTTGGTCTCTTCAGTACTCAATCAATCTTCATGGTATACTAACTTCAGTGCAACTTCTTCACTTCAGATACTCTTCCAATATCTTTATTTCTACTTCAACTCATTGGTGTACTTGTAACATTCCATGCCCGCCTATTTTCCTTGGTAAGTAGAGCCTGCCAACATTGCTGCGGGGATGAAAGGCATGATTCTTTGTAATTATTTTTTCTGGTCTTCCTATCCAGGACTTTTAGTTCTGCTTGAGTCCAATCCACAACTCCAGCTGTGAATCTAATGATTGGAATTTCCCAGGTGTTAATTGCTTGATAGTATTTCCTCCACTGAGTTTGAAATTTAATATCTTCTTCACTCTCATGATATATTCACTACTAACTTTCCTAACTTCAGTATCCTTGATGTTGTCGGCTTGAAGGAGGGACAGATATTTCTAATGTCTTCATCCAGGCTTTTGATATTATTTCCATAAGACATCTTGATTACAGATTTCTTTGTTTTCCCAGTTGATGGTAAGGATAGCATATTTGTTCAATCAAAACTCCATTGCAATATCTTGGCTATATTAATCTTTGCACAAAGCTTTTGTTATTTCTATTGATTTCTGTTATTTTAGGTACTTGACTATCCGGCCATGTGGCAGGGAGTCAAATGCTTTGTTGTAATCAGTGCAAGCTACGTTTAAATTAGTCTCCTTCCTCTTGCAATTTCCCAAAATCATTTTATCTATTAGAAACTGATATTTTGTTCCTCTGCTCTTTGGGCAATTTCCATTCTGCTCAGATGGAAAGAGCTTATTTTCAACTAGATGCCTGATCTTCCATGTTTGTGGTGCACTGTATGGCTCTTCTTCTTGATTTTTTTATTTTGTATCCAAGATATTCCATTATAACAGCAGCTGTGCTATACATTACTTGGGTTGTTCTTTGCAGTGAGCTAGTGCTTATATTTGGTATTATGGTATTGGCATCATTTAATACTTGTGCTATTTCTTTGGAACAAGCTTCAATGCAGGCAAGCTCTTTCTGTGCTTTTGTGCTGTTCTAGATCAGGGGTCCCCAATGGCCCACTACCAGTCCATGAGTTGTTCAGAACTGGGCTGCCTGAAGTGGTAGGCGTGCATGTTTCCTCATTTGCACGAGCAGTGGGCAAGCATGCACATGCTCCATTTGTGCAGGCAGTGGGTATGCATGCCTGCTGCTTGCATAAATGGAGCTGTGCACACATGCTTGCGCTTGCCTGCTAATCACCTGGAACCATCCCTCCCCCCCCCCACTGGTCTGCAAAGCCAGAAAAGTTGGAGAATTCTGATCTAGATGTTCAATTATTCTTTGTTTCAAATCTTTTTTAGAAGGCTTTATTCTTTCTGAAGAGAAAGCAGAAGACAGAGTGCCTGGTTTGGTAATGTGCTGACTTCCTCTACTGCCAACTCTCCCTGGTTTGTCTCTATAGTCTGACTTACTTCTCACAAGGCTTTCTTTTCTCCACTGTGGATAGATCTTTGCAATTCTTCCAATTCTGTTTCAGTGAATACTTTATTTTGTATAAATCGATGTTGATCCGCCAGCCTTGTTCTGTTATTTCTGATTCTGGATGTGGTTATTCCCAGAACTGGTACATTGTTTTTAGATATCCACTTATTGTTATAATTGGTTTGTGGTAAGAGATGATTATTTCTTTGTTTTTGATCTTTGTATATTTCTGTATTTGCAACCGGTAAACAACTTTTGTTTCAATAGTGCTGCAGCTGCTGGCCCTGATTCCTCAGCCAATACTCCTGAGTCCTGTAGACCATTTATCACCAGATGTTCATGGAATCCAACATCTAGCATGGTCCTTGCTGACTTATGCAATGGCTGGTCCAGTATGGGTTACTGTAAATTTCCTTTCACCATATTGTTTATAAGACGTACATTCTTTGTATAGTTCCTCTGAAGGGAACCTCTGATGAGACCTTTCCACTGTTCAGTATGGCTGAACCTCTTGCAACCTTGTCAAAGTAGTGCCTCAGTGAGGTATTAACAGAATAACAGATTCAGAAGGGACTTAGGAGGTTTTCTATCCAATCCATTGCTCAAGTAGGAAACCCTATCATATTTTGGACAAATGGTTGTCCAATCTCTTCTTAACAATCTCCAGTGTTGGAGCATCCACAATTTCTGGAGGCAAGTCATTCCATTGATTAATTGTTCTAACTGTCAGGAAATTTCTCCTTAGTTCTAGGTTGATTCTCTCCTTGATTAGTTTCAATCCATTGCTTTTTTTCCTGCTTTCAGATGCTTTGAGAAGAGGTTGACAAAACTCAGCAGCACTTTTTTGTTCAGCTGTTGATAAAAATAGGATCACCAACATGATCGCCAACATCCGATAATGGATATGGCACAAGAAGAAGTAATAGTATTACTTAAAGTAGCATTTATTAAATTATTTTAGTATAATAAATGTTTTTGGGTTGATGAACAAACTAAATCTTTATGAAGGGGTTGAGAGTTTGGGGACCTCTGCTAAAGTCCATGGAAAACTTCCTGGAATCCATTGCATTCCAATGCAAACATTTCAAAGCAGACAGTTGCAGACAAACCTCCTAGTACAATACTATGCCATTGAATTATAATATAATTTTTTTACTTCTTATAACTGAAGCTATGCTTACCTTTGGAGAATGAAACTTTCCCATTACAATCATTTTCATCCAATAATGATTTTGATGATATTTTGATGTGGCATGCATGATTAGAAAACTTTTGGTTTCGGAAAGCTTGAAATTTTCTGTCTTTGGACTCTGATGTACTTTTGGGTAGATGCTTGTCTTTCCAAGAAATCCTACCATCTATTAATAATTCTTTTTTAGACGATTGCTCCAAAAAGGAAGCAGATGCAAGTTCGTGGTATTTGTCTCTCCTGCTTTGTTTTTTGTTGTTTCCTAAGAATCCATGTGCATCTATTAAAAATTAAGAAAAGGGAAATCAATTGCAGACCATGCATGATATACCATTTCACCTCCTTGTGTTATTTACAAAACAGCATTTTTTTAATTGAAGGATCTAATTCATTAATATACTTTAACATTTCAGAGAAGTAGTGCTGTCTCACCATGACTAAAAAACTGTACGATCATTAGCCTCTTTACTTGCTTGCTCCCTACCTGTGATTACAAAATTAATGTCTTCCTAAGCAGCACCTACATTTTATTTCCATTTCCACAGTACAAGATTGTACATGCTAGGCACTGGGGAAATAACTGTCAAGAATTAAGGTACGCTTCATAAAAGATACATTATTGGTGTAATTTATTTCATAAACATATTTCAGTGGCTCACTGTTTGACTCAGCAATTTGACTACAGATAGGCTTTCTCTATTTTGGGGGCAGAAATTTATCGCAATTTATGTAGCTTTCTGTTAAGTTTCTTGGAGTGGAAATGTGAGAAGATTAGCAAATGATGTAATCTGATTCAGAACAAAAGCCAAATTAGCCCAAATGACTGGTTATTGAGATTCCAGTATAAAATGGATGAATAAACCTAGATCCTTGGAACTGAGACTCTTCTGTAGGGTTTACCCAGGAAAAAGCAGCTGGCCTTCTTGTCAAAAGAGATTTATTTTGCCAGATTCATATTTCCCAACCAAGCCCAAAACTGGCTTCATGCTACTTAGAAACACAAGGAGCTGAGGGTGACAATGGTGGCAAACTCAGATCATTCTAATATATAATTTAATTAAAACTTGCCAAAATCATAAGCTTAAGTTTGAGGATTTTTTTTTTAAAAAAAAAACTATTTAACCAACATTTATGCTATTCCTTATGAAGAAATATCAATCAACCAACTGTATGGCTTATGACTTCTCTTTTCTATAATAAACTTTAAAGTTCACTTGTACTTTTCTAAGTAAATTGGAATAATCAGATATAACTGCCCTGTTCTAATCTTATGTTGGCACTTATGCATGCTTATTCTCCTGTACCTTTGAATAGGTATGGGAATTAAGGAATTATTTGATTATGCTGTTTGGGTGTGTTGAATTGCTAAAAGACCTGAAAATCCATCGACAGGGTATCTTTCCTATTGACCAAGGCAACCCAAAGGCATTTGGCAGCCAAGTTATTTTGATATATTGTCTGAGAGAAAATCATTGTTCCTCCCTAATTTGATAGTAAAAATACAAAAAAATAAAGAATAACTTTCCAAAACTATAAATTTGGTGCTAATTTGGTTTCATAAAGATTGGAGCTCAAATAACATTTGCTATTATTAATTTATGATAAATGGGCAGAAAATAAATGTGGATCCACTGATACAATTAGCTGTCTCTTGTACCAATAATATAATACTCCAACTGCTAAAATGAACTGCTAAAAATGAAGGTGGTTGAAGAAAAATTAGCACGTGTTTTTATGTGTAAAGACATAAACAGACATCTGTTGTGGAACTGAAAATATATTCTTAGGCTGAGCTCAAGTTCATATATGCTCTTTTCTACAATGTTAATCATCTATTCCCAGAATGATTAATTTGCACTTGTTTCTGATAATAAATCTCAGGAGTCTAATGGGAAAGAAGAAGTAGATCATACTTCTCGATCTGCTCATTATGATATAAAATACCAAGCTGATCGTATCTCAGGTGACACTAGGAGGGTAGTTCTTAAATTGCTACATTGATGTTCTTGTAATAGAGACTGGGTTTCTCCCCTTCCATACATTTTCTCTTTTTCCTATCCCATCTCTCCTAATTTCTTAAACATACTTAATATATTAAGTATGCTCCCAGTTGGAGCTACAAGGAGACTCTAGCTGGTTCAATGACTTTTTTGGTAATGGAATTAGAGTAAGCTGCCCCTTAATTACAGCAGTGAAGCTAAAATAAAACAATTTTTTGCAAGGGAAAAAAATGAAGCTCATCCTATTTGGCAAGAAGATTTCTCTCCAGCTGTGATTTCTATTAAACTTTGATAGTTTCGCTACAGACTTTTTCTACAATCAGAATGGGTTCAAGTTTTCTGGGCCCACTCAGCTGGAACCCTCATTCTAAATAATCATTCACTTTCCTGTACCCTATGTAAGACAAGTCTAAAATTAAGACGGTGTGATCCATATAGTTTGCAGAACTATAAAAGATAATGCATTTTGGACACCAATGCATAGAGGCCTTGTAGAGTGGCTTTTTCTGAGAAATAAGCAGACAGTAGAAGAAAGTGGTATGCTGTAGGGAGGGACAGAAAACAACTAACAAACACCAAATGCCATGGAAACAACAATATAACCTAATCAATAATGTAGTGCCAAATTGGAAAAATTCCTTTGAAACGAGAGGTGTACAGAGGGTGTTGTGGCAGAATGGCATGATCTGGCATTGTGTACCTCCCCACATTCCACTCAGAACATTTCCACCCAAAGTGTTTGTGCCATTTCCATATCTGCATATCTTCTTACAATCCCCAAATGTTGCTTTTTGGGGGGGTTGGTTGGGTACTTCCAACTCTGTTGTAGTACAGAAATAATTGCTCTGAGGTAAGGCTTAGCTGGTAAACCCTAGAACTTTGTGGAAGTTGGTAAGTGGAAACAATAGAAACCATGATTTCCTCACCCTTTCTCATGATTCCTGAAGTTTAGCTGCACTGGTACGTCCTTTAAAGACCTTAGGACCCATACATATGTAGAATTAAGTGCCAAGATTCCTGCAAAATTCCTCCTAATATTCAGCAGGGGACCTTGCCCAGAATGCTTGAATTTTTATTTTTCCCCTTTTGAGTAAAACATTGGAGAAAGGATTTTTGTTACTAGAGGACCTGTGTTACCTCGAGTATTTTTATGTCTTGTGCTTAGTGCTGCAAAGCCAACAAGAATGAAGGTGCTGTAATTCTGGCTATTTGCAAACTCTTGTTAAGGAACTGTGGAATAGAAACTGTTGTAGAATAGATGTACCACGAGATAAGAGGTAATGTGAGCATTTATTAGCTTAACAAAATTCACAGGTAGTTTACCATACTTAAATAATCTTCTGTGTTAATACAACAATTTAAGTTACAATGTTTCATCTGTGAGAACGATAGGCTTCCCACAATCTGTACTGCCATTCTGAGAAATACAAAGATTAAAAAAAATGAAAAATAACATTAAAAAAACCCATAGAAACTATCTGGCTCTGTATCATGGAGGTGTGTTCTAGAGATTTTAGCTATTTTTTTCCTTTTTGAAAACAAAACAAGCTCATAAAAAATGAACAAAATCAACCTTAATTTTTAAAAAACTCTAAAAGATATATTAAACTTGGTTTGAAAATGTATGCAGTGTTCTGATCAGATCCCGAGAAGTGGAATTCTAGGAGTACATTCAAACTCAGACACTGTTTAGTCTCTGTACTGGCAAGAAAGCTGCAGTACTACATTTTTTTAAATTTAATAACATTTTGGATAAGAATCCAAAATGACAAAGAAAAATTAAAGATGTTTAGTTCTATCTGAGTCAAATTGCACATTTTTTACCTTCCTAAATTATAACTGCTTCTAAAAAAGCAGCCTCTAGCTTTTGATGACCTTGTCTGTTTCAATTTGTGGTTTCACCCTCACCCTTGCCTCCACTATTCATTTCCCATGCCTTCTGCCTGTTGCTTATTACAAACACTACAAAAAATAAAATACTGGTAGCCAAGAAACAACAATCCAAATTACTAACACAACCAGGTGGCTCCCTGCATATACTCTGCGTACAAGACAGGGGTGGGATTCTACCAGTTCACACCTATTCACTAGAACTGGTTGTTAACATCCTAAGCAGTTCAGAGAACCGGTTGTTAGAAGAAATTACTGGCCTAATCCTGTAAGGAAGGCAGGAAGGAAACATGCTGGTGTTGCTTACAGAAATTGCCTCTCCGTTAACCCTTATTACATGCTTGGCAGGACTAGATTTCCTGTCTCAGGAACGTCTCTGGAGTTTTTTTCCCCTCCTTTGCTGGTACTTTGCTTGTGTGGAGTGACCATTTAAAATTACAATGGCACTGAAAAAAGTGACTTATGGCCATTTTTCACACTTACGACTGTTGCAGCATCCCCACAGTCATGAGAGGCCAGGCGAGGAGATGTGTGCCTCGATGTAAGTGATATTGAGTTGGCCACAGCCAGCCAATAACATGACCACCAAGCCATGCCCACCAACTAAGCCACGCCCACAGAACCAGTTGTTAAAAAATTTGAATCCCACCCCTGGTACCAGACCAGGTATATAATGGTCACTCACCACTGTGGATAAAAACACGTTTAAGTTTGGGGATTTTTAATACCAGTTGATACAGACTACCTCAAATCTTTTCAGTTTTGCAAGTTTTGATAGCAGTAAATTAGAGAAATATAGAAATCCAACATTTCTGTACTATACAGTAGTATATCTTTCTATTGTGTTGTGTTGTTGCTTTTATTCTGTTGTACTATATTAAGTTTTGTTTCTAGGTTTATACATATTCCTGGTAAAAGTGAAGATGAAGGACAGTTTAGATATACAATGTAAGTACCAATAAATCAGACTATTTGTAGCTCAGGGTGAATTGTGGCGGGGAGAAGGTAGGTGGTGGCTCTCTGAGCCTAGTTGTTTTCCTGCAGATGTTTCATTACCAAACTAGCACTGGGACTAGCACTGATGGTGCTACCTAGCTTGGGTAATGAAACATCTGCAAGAAAACAAGCTCAGAGAGCACCAACAACTCCTCACAGTAACA